GCTGCCAGGGATGCAGAGGTGACAGTGCTGGGGGTTTTTGGCCGGCTCCTTGCTGCTTTGTTGCTCCGTATTGGCGAGCCCCAGCTGCGGCACAGCAGCGTGCACAGCTCTCCGTCCTCCCTGTGTGTGCCCCCTCGTCCCTCTGGAGCCTCTCCAGCCAACTGCCTGATGACTGGCCCTGCATTTCTTAATGTGTATAAATGACAGAAGGATGTGTTTCTCCTTGCTGTGCCCGCTTACTCCCCCCGACTGCTGCCCACAGCCCTCCTGGGCTTTGTCAGACAGGCAGGTGACGGGGACAGCAGGCAGCATGCCGGGGCTCTCGCCTCTCCCACCTCCTTTAAAAGAGTCTCCTCTGCAGGGGCTCAGACCTGTGCTTCCTGCAAACTGGGTTTTTGCATTTGCTCCCAGTGCAGCTGTGGAGCGGGACAGAGGCAGCAGACCCAGTGGGCTCCTCTGGTGGCTTGTTAGCAGCCATCCCTGGCTAATGCTTCGGTGCTGCTGGTGGTCTTAAAAGCAGATCAGGGCCAGCTACGCCCGGCCGTGGTATTTGTATGCGGTAGGTGTGCCGGAGCGCATCACCAGGCTGCTGGGGATGCGCTGGTCTGGTGCAGCCAGCGGCTGCAGGCTTACTCGGGCAGCTGCTGCTCTTCCTGAGGGGATTTGGGTGGGGGTGAATGGGGCTGCTGGACGGTGGCCAAGGCTTGGATGGTGGGACAGAGCACGTGGCAGTGCCTTAGTTGGGACGTGCTGCGCGCAGCGGTGTGCGACCAGGCAGCGTTGTCCTTAGCATTGCGCAGGCTCCCTTGGTCCCTGCACCAGGGACGCATCTTCCTCCGGGGCAGGAGCTGTTGGGAGGCATTTTGTTGGGCTGCTGGCTAGAGGAGTGCGAAGCAGCCAAGTCTGGTGGGTGAGGTGGAACAGGCCTGACACCGTGCAGGAAAGCCTCCTAACCTCATCTTCTTATCTTTTTCCCTCTAGGGCTGACCGGACTGGCTGTGCCCACGATGCCCTGAATGCTAAGCGTAGCGGAAGCAGAGGAGACTGTGTTCCGTTAGCTCCTCTTCCCTCCCTTGTCCCTTTAGTTTGGGGTTTTTTCTATTTATTTTGTGGCTGGATTTGGGCATGGCCTTGACCGGATGTGAGGCTGCTGCAATGTGGCTCCTTTGGCTCAAGCACCACTTGTCCGTCAACGTTTGGACCTTGCTGCTCTTGGGGAGCACCTGGCTACCACTGGTGGAAGGCAGCCCCAAGTCTCCCTTTAGGACTTTCCCGGTTACAGACTGGAGCTTGACGCACTTGGTGGTCCACAACAAAACTGGGGAGGTCTATGTGGGGGCTGTCAATCGGATCTACAAGCTCTCCAATAACCTCACGCTCCTGCGGACCCACGTGACAGGGCCTGTAGAGGACAATGAGAAGTGTTACCCTCCTCCCAGCGTTCAGTCCTGCCCGCATGGACTGGTCACCACCAACAATGTGAACAAACTGCTGCTGGTGGACTACTCGGGGAACCGGCTCATTGCCTGTGGCAGCGCCTCCCAGGGTATTTGCCAGTTTCTGCGGCTGGATGACCTCTTCAAGTTGGGTGAGCCCCACCACCGCAAGGAGCACTACCTCTCCAGTGTCAACGAATCGGGCACCATGTCTGGGGTCATCATTGAGGTGCTGAATGGGCAGAACAAGCTCTTCATTGGGACGCCCATTGACGGGAAGTCGGAGTACTTCCCCACCCTCTCCAGCCGCAAGCTGATGGCCAACGAGGAGAACGCGGAGATGTTTGGCTTTGTCTACCAGGACGAGTTTGTGTCCTCACAGCTCAAGATCCCCTCGGATACGCTCTCCAAGTTCCCCACCTTTGACATCTACTACATCTACAGCTTCAGCAGTGAGCAGTTTGTTTACTACCTGACCCTGCAGCTGGACACCCAGCTCACCTCCCCCGACTCCACCGGGGAGCAGTTTTTCACCTCTAAGATCGTCCGCCTCTGCGTGGACGACCCCAAGTTCTACTCCTACGTGGAGTTCCCCATCGGCTGCGTGCAGGATGGCATCGAGTACCGCCTGATCCAGGATGCATACCTGACCAAACCTGGCAAGGCTTTGGCCAAGTACCTGGGCATCTCGGAACAGGAGGATATCCTCTTCACCATCTTCTCCCAGGGCCAGAAAAACAGGGTTAAGCCTCCCAAGGAGTCTGTGCTCTGCCTCTTCACGTTGAAGAAGATCAAGGATAAGATCAAGGAGCGTATCCAGTCGTGCTACAGAGGGGAAGGGAAACTCTCGCTGCCCTGGCTCTTGAATAAGGAGCTGGGCTGCATCAACTCGGTAAGTTCTTGTTTGTCTCTACCCAAGCCAGGCTGTTTCTGGCTCCTGGCGGTGCTCCCTGGCTGGACCTTTGCTGGTGACCTGGCCTGGGCCGTGTTTCCCGGTGTGAGGACTGGCACTGTTAGGGCTGGGCGCTTGGGTTGCCTGGTAGCATTCCTCACGGAGATCGCGGCTTCATTGTGGGACAACCGTCTGGGTTAGGATTGCATCGGTGCCCGCGGAGAGCCCCAAGCAAGGGGCCCCGTGCCGATGCGGGTATCTGCTTCTGGTGCCCCTGCCCTGTGGATTTGGTGAGCTAGGCTGGGAGGGCAGGATACTCAGTCCTCAGGGCATCTGCTGCAGCTCCGCTGGGGAGTTCTTCACAGATGGCACGTGTGGATTTGTGAGTGTTGTGTCACCTGGGGCTTGGTGGTGGCTGAGCAGGTGTTGGGGCAGTAGGATGTGGGCAACGGAGTGTACAGACCTGATGGAAGGAGGTGGGGAGGTTGATGGTCCCACTAGAAGTTGGTCAGATGATTGGTGTGGAGGAACCACATCCTCTGTGGGGTGCTGGAGAGGAGAACAGAGGGCTCGAGGCTCTGTGAACAAGGTGGGTTTTGAGTATGGCCAGTGCAAACTGTCACCCAGAGGTGCCAGAGGCAAGCGCTGACATCCCAGAGTGGTGATTCCCAGCTGAGGGAGTGCTCCTCTCGGTTCCCAGACATGCGTCCTCCTGCCTGGTGCTTATGTGGGTGCATCTAGCCCCTGCTTCTGGCTCAGTGGTTCTGTGTGGGGCCTGAGAGTGGTGGAGAATGGAGGACCTTTGTGCTTGGCTCTCTGGGTTTGTTCTCCAACTATTGCTATTGCTGGATTTTTTTCCAGACAACGTTATAAACCATGAGTGGCTCTGGGTGATGGGGAGGTCTTACCCTGGGATCACCAAGCTGGGCTGGGTAGAACCCAGGCGGAGTCAGATACCCAGCAGAGGGGTGGCTTTGGGATGCCGGTGTGTGCATTTGGGAGGTTCTGGTGGAGGGCTCGACACCCCTGCTATTGCCCACCTCCCCCCAGCTCCTCTTGCTGGTGCTCAGCATCCATTACTAAGCCCCCAGCCCTGCCCCAGCAGGGTTTTGGGTGCCTGGTGGTGCAGGCAGGTGGGCAGGGGTCCCTTTGGAGAAGCTCTGCCTTCCCTCCCACCGTCCTCCCCGCAGCTCCAGAGGAGACAGCTAACAGCTGCCTGACAAAGTAAAGGGTTTGCTGTCAAGAGCGCTGGGCTCGCAAATCAGATTTTGGCTTTGAACTAATTCAATTTTGCTGGAAAATGATGAAATCGTTACACTGCTGCCTGTTGGGTCGCACAGCTGCTGGCTCCGGCGGCGGAGACGCTCGCTGCCGCTGCTTCCCGCGCTCCCCGCTTGCCTCCTCCAGTGTCCTGCGGCAGCACTGTGCCTCCCAGGTTTAGGGAGGAGACTCTGCCCACCTGCATTTTTGGGGCGATTTCAAGCTAGAAGGGTCCTGGGATTGTGACCTGGTGGCCAGTCTGAGCGAGTAGGTGGATCTCAAGGTGTTCTTTGGGTCCTGCAGGCTTGTTGGGTGGGAGGATGCATGTCACGATGAGGGGTGGCTCCTGCTTTTTAATGGGCTGAGTTTAGGGGTGCTGCCCTCCCTCAAGGGAGCCAGGTGGTATTTTCTGTCCCTGTCCCGCTCCAGCTGCTGAGCAGAGCTGGGAAAGGCATGACTGGATCATGAGTCAAGCCCTCAGCCCCTCGCTGTGCTGAGCAGAAGCCAAACCAGCCCCTGTGGAGCATGTAACCTCTTCCTGGCAGGAATCTCTGCGTCCCTAATAAAATGCAACCACCTCTGGGGTGGGTCATGGCAGTGACAGATCTCTCGGTGGTGAGGGCTGTCCGGAAAATAAAGAGCCTGTTGTCTTTTTATTTTTAAGGAGGCAGAATGTAGTTGCTCAAGTCAGTAGTTGCTTGGGATTTACGCCCCATCTGTATGGAAAATATCCTGGTAGCTGTCTTGCTCCTCTTCTTCAAGGCAGCAAGGGGCTGAGGCTGGTCCCCGACGGAGGAGGCTTTGCTGATGTCCTGCTCCCAGGCCTCGAGCAGCACGGGGCTGAGGGATGCTCATCCCCTAGCTCTGCCGGGCAGCTCCGATTCTCTGGATCTGGTGCTGGAGCCAGGAGGAGAGGCCGCCAGGCTTGGCAGCCAGCTCGGGAGATGTTCGTGGTCCCTCCCTGGTGTGGACGAGCAGAGTGAATTCTTGTCTCCTGTTTCTCTCGCACCTCTTCTGGGATTCAGCAATCTGGCAACGGGAAGCAGAGTGACACCGCTCGTGCTGTCATGCTCGGATGTGTGCATGGACCTGCGTGCACCGCAGAGGCACCTTACAACACTGCCTGGCCCATTCTCCTGTGCCAGCCGCGCTGCCTAAATCATTCCAGAGCCTGTCCAGAGGTTTTGCTGCTCATGGTGTTCCACTGAAGAGGGGTTTAGTGTTGTGTAGCCCAGGTCTTTTCTGTCCCTGTGCAATGCAGGGACCAAGGTCCACGTACCTGTGGCCAGACGTGCTCCGTGCATCGCCTCAACACACCCATGTCCCCGTTCATGGGGGATGAGGGTCTGATGTAGCTGGGCTGCGAGGGGGCAGCAAGTTGGAGCTGGAGCGGAGATGTTGCAGCAGGGAGCGACGCTGGGTTCCCAAAGTCCTTGAACCCTGGACTGGCAGCGTGAGCAGAGCCGGTATCCGGAGCCGGCAGGATGTGGACAGCAGCACTGCCCAAGGGAGAGAATGAGTTCTGAGTCCTTGGTGGGGCTTGGTGCCCAGACTGCTGGCATGGGGCGACAGCTGGTGACAAACGCCCAAACTGGGCTGAGATAAGCCAAGTCCTTCCTGGGGGCAGCCAGAGAAATGCAGATGTTAACAAACTGTACTGTACTGGAATTATTCCTGGGCAGTGATTAATGTGCAAAACGCCTGGCATCCCAGCCTGGCACTTGGTACCTGGTGCCCGCCTGGCTCTGTGTGTCCCCTGCATCCCCCATCGCAGCCGCGGGTGGGCACAGGGGGATGGGGTGTGCCTGTAATAGTGTTAACTGGTGAATTACTAGCTAATTAATAATGCTGAGCGGCGCGAGCCTCGCCTCTGCTGTCTGCTCCCTCATTGCTTCCGTAAGTGGGCTTGAAGGGAGGCAATGAGACAAGGCACATCAAGGAGACGGCCCTCTTCTGCTCACTTGGTGCTGCCAGTCTGCCTTCCCCGCTCCGGCAGGCTGCTTCCCTGGGAAATCCGAGTTTCCTGACCTTATTCTGGGGAGGTGGGTTAGTACTGGCAGAGAGAAGGCTGCAGTGCTTTGGAGGTGGAGGTTTGGGGTGTCTGGGGGCCGGGAGCAACCAAGAGGGGTGCCAAAGGAAAGCAATGAAATAAAAATAAATAAAAAATACCCCCAAACCAGACGTCCTGCCTTTGCAATGAGCTGAGGCCATGATCCCTGCAAGACCCATGCAAATGGGAGAGCGGGCAGAGCTCAATGCCTCCTGCAGATCCCAGCATCTGCAAGCTGAGACGCTGCAAGGTCACTGGCCCTCGCGTGCTGTGGTGCATGTCGGTCCTGGCCACCACCGGCCAGGGCACAGCTGTCCCTCTGTCCTTCCGTCCCTCCATCTCTCCGCCTCACCACTCTCCGCAGCCCCCGTCCCCCAGGGATGGCGGACGGTGCCATAACCCCGGTACGGCCGCCCTTGGCCTGACATCGCCGTGCTGCCTGCCTGTGCTTCCCTAATGAGGCAGTTTGCTGTTAATGAGCTAATTGTCAGCGTAATTATTTATCGAGGTGGTGTCAGCATGGCTCCGGCAGTGACGGGCGCTCCTCGGGGTCCCGGAGCGCAGCTGTATTTGTCGTTTCCCAGAGAGTTTGTTGCGACAAAGCAGAGAGGAGTAAACGCCGTAAACATCTCTCCTCCTGCGTATTCAGCAGCCGAGGGTTGGGGAAGCCGCAGATTGAGTGCAGAGAGAGCAGAAACTGCACCCAGGGGCTGCCAGGGCTTCAATACCTTTATGGCATTGTCCTTACCTCTCTGATGCTGCTGGTGGCTGGGTGGAAGGTGCTGGGATGCTTTACTGGGATGGAGGAGTTGTTGGGGCCAAAGAGCGTTTTTTTTCCCCAGCAAAGTGCCTGAAGGATCCCGGGTATCTGGATGGAAGCTGGGTATGGGTGGGAGCATTGCTTCTGTGGTTGGGAATTTCTTGGATCTTCTGTTTTAAGATGTGTAGCCTGGTGATGCAGAGGAGGATGCTTAGTGCAATGGGCTGGCTCGTGGGTAGGAGAGGGCACTTGCAAAGCTGCGATTCAGAGGATGGATGGAGAGGTCCTAGTTCCCCTTTCCCCCCTTTCCCTGTGGTTGAGGAGGTGCTTGGTGCCTCACGTCCCTGTTTCAGGGATCCCCGCGTCTCTTATGCCTGGCTGTAGGAGTTCTCCCAGTTTGGGGAAGGATGAGCAGAGGTCGGGTGCAGAAGGGGCTGTGCACTAACTCAGGCACCCAGCAAAAGCAGAGTGACTGAGGAAGCAGACCAGCGTCCCCAAACCGCCCGGGGAGGCTGAGCGTGAGCGGCTGGCATTGTTCCCGGTCCTCCCCTGCCAGAAGGCTGGCACGGCGCTGAGTCCCTGCTGCAGCCGGGAGCAGGACCACTGGCCTCGGGGCTGGCGTGATGGCATGGCAAGGAGGGTGAGCAGCCTCGCCGTGGCTGTGGGAGGCTAAAGCCGTTATGGCTGCGAGCACATCGTACCCAGACATGGAATTGCATTTTGTTTTCCCTCCTTCCCTGTGGGTGTCTCAGGTTGCTGGCAGGAGTCTGTCCAGGATGACCCTCGCTTCCCGGGCAGCGAAGGGTGGGAATTGCAGAGCTGTTTGCTGCCCTTGCATACGTGGAGCTTGGCATTTTCCCATATGCTCCATGCACATGCTGTATGGATTTAAAACCCCTTGGGGACTGGCATGCATTTGGAGGCCGCTGCTTGCCAAAAAAACCTCTCTCCCCTTTAAATTCAGAGTTACGTAAGGAACCTTGTGAAGCGGAAGAATCCCATGGCCGGAGCCGGCTGTCTCCCCGTTGGCAGTGCCTGCCTTGCCTCCGTGACCTCCTGCACCCAGGCTTGCTGCTGCCCTCCCTGACTTGGCCGGAGCCCCTCGCTGCCTGGGACGGGACGGGGGCTGCCGGGGGTGGATTTTGTTCTTGCTGTGTGACTGTGTGAGGTCATTGCCTGGCGTGGGACCTCCAGGAGGCTGCGCGCTGCCATGTGCCCTGCGGGCTGGATGCCTGTGGCCAGGGGCTGTTGTCCTGCTCAGCAGGTCAGGGTGACCCAGCAAGGATGCTCCATGGAGTGGGTGAGCGCTGCAGAGCTGGTCCTGGTCTCGCTCTCCTGCCTGCATCTGACTTCCACAGGAGCCATCCCTCTGGCCTTGCCTTGCCCGTTAGCATGACCGTCCTCGCTGGAGGTCCCTGCTGCTGCAGCCCTGAGAGCAGAGAGGGGCTCTTGCAAAAGCTTTTTTCAGACCCTTGGGCTAGTGCGGGACCACAGAGGCAGCTGGCTGGGCCAGGCACCTTGTCTGGGGCAAGGCAGCATGAAAAGAATGCGGGGATTTCCCGAAAACGTTCCTGCGAGAAGAGGAACAGGGCTGGTAGGTGGGTAATGTGTTTGCTGAAGGCTCTACTATATGAAGTGAGGCTCCTTCAGGAGCCCTGACCTGTTTGTGTTGGCACGGCCTTGGCTGGGAAGTGTTTTGTCTCTGGGGGAAGGCTGGGGCGTGGAATTCAGCCCCTCCTG